GAAGAAGAGAAAGGTTGGAGACCAGCCAACTGAGAGGCCTGCGGAGACGCCAGCTGAGCCTAGCCGATCTTCGCAGGATGTGATGATGGAAACGAGGACGGCTGAGTTGGCGGAGATGAAGGAAGCCGCCAAGGAGCGCCGCGCCAAGTTGATGGAGTCAACTGGAGCTGGCGAGAAGAAGGGCGAAGAGGATGAAGAATGAACTGAGATGCTAAGTGATCTCAGTGGTTGGGTGGGTGAGTGAAACCCGCAGCCATTTTTTTTGGAAGCCAGGGCCGCGTTGCCGCCATGGAGCGCCCGCGATTTTTCTGGTTAGTGTGAGCCCTTGTTTCAGTGCATGAGAAGTTTGCAAAGAGGAGGCAAAATGATGATGAAACTCAACGAGGGACTCTATAGCCCCTTCTGCAAGGCGTCTGATTGCCACCTCTGAAGACGTTTTTGGCTGATGGTACGCTGGAAGAAGCGAAACTATGAAGCCAATCTTTTCCTGAAGGATCAGCTAGCCGATGCTAGTTGGTGAGTTTGGTGACCTGGAAGATGCGAGACTGAGGAGGAGTACCACGACAAGGTCGAGTGCTGAGTGGGAAACATCTGAAGCTTGCATTAATTCGTTTTCACGTGTTTGTCACCACGAACTCTTGGATTCGTTCCAAGACAACCCTGCCCCAGTGCAGGTGGATGCAAGTTTAATTCGTTTTTCACGTGTTTGGACAACGAACTCTTGGGTTACCAGTGATGTGGACCCAGGACAACCTGCCTGATGGTGGGATCTTGCATGAGTTTTAAGTTTTTTGTCAGAGATCGACTGGTGTGTTGTTTGTTTCGTTTGGTGGCGAGTACGCACCAAGGGAATGTGGCCAGGGCATCCCCTTAGTGTTGAAGTGCCGAGCTGGGCTTGGACTTCAGATCTTTGACATGAACCCTCAGCAAAATGCGGGGGGTGGAAGATTGTGGCTGATCAGTGATGTTTTTGTCATGTTTTGGATCAGCTTGTATAGGTTTGTTTTGCTTCTGAGTGATTGGGAATCCGTGTGATCCCATCCTCGATGGTTTATGCCTCGTTGATTTCCAAGGAAATCATACGAGTGTGTTTTTGCCCAATACGCTATTTAAAGTGAGTGTGTAGTGTGTAGGAACTTCGTTCTGAAGCTGAGTTTAAGCTCACAAGAGAGAATTCGTTTAGTTTGTGCACTTCGTGACTTTTGGCTCAAGTGGCTCTGACTGTGAAAAAGAGAGAGTTGTCCGCACTTGTGTGAGAGGTCAGGGTTCGTGCTTTCAAGGGAAAAGGTACCAGAGGGACCTTCGGTTTTTCACGTCGAAGGCCATGCTGCGACTGGTGCTGTCACAAGGTTGAGAAACCTAAGCAGCAATTTCTAGCTTCAAAAAGCCAAACCTCCAAGCCACCAAGCCGCACAGAAGAAACAGAAAAAGGATAGCTGCCACAATGTTACAGATGATGCATCAGATGGACGTATAAACCCAAGTTATAAAGTATTTCAATTATAAAACATATTTCTTTTTACAAAGCGAAAGAAGGATGTGTTCTAAATTCCACCCTCCTCAAATCTTGTGATACATTTTGTGTTTGTTTTTTTTGGATTTCATTCCTTTGAAACCAGAGAAGTAAGACTCCAAACATTCATATTCCTTTACACAAAGAAAGAAGAGAATGTATTCTAAATTTCACCCCCTCGAATCTTGTTTTATTTTTTTGGGTTTTATTTTTTCGAAACCAGAGATTCTTTGTTAAAGGGAAGCTCAAGGGCAATTCCACCCCGCTTCTTCTTGTTTTTCGTGTTCATTACTCGATTTTCAAGAAGCAGAGAGTTCACAGCAGTAACGTGGCGCGGGGCCAAGCCGAGACCCCATGTTTTGTTTCAGAGGCGATTCATATGCTTCCACGCGAGCTTGCCCGGCAGAAAAAAGCCGGAGGGTTGGCGGGGGCGCAGCCCCCCCATTTGCCTCCTGTAGCATCTGCTGAACTTGGAACGCTGCGCAAGACCCACGACGGGGTTTGTCTGAATGGAGACTGCGGCATCTGCTGAACCTGGAACTGAGGCAATAAGGAAACCCGGGTAAACCTTCAGAGGGCACTTTTACGGACAAGTCAACCGGCTTAGCTGGCTTAGCTGGTTTCTCCATGGAAAGGCTGGAATTCTTGGTGTGGAGACTTGTTGCTGAGTTTTTCGCTTTGTGAAGATGCAGCATCCATTGTTCCTTCTTGGACTTTGTTTCCCTGGTGGCACTTTCGTGTGCAAAATCGTGTGAAGCCTTCGATCTTTGCTTTGCAAGCTTAGATTATTGCTGACATCTCTGGGTCGGAAGCACCAATCCAAGCTCTTATCTGTGTTTGGAATTCACTTGAACCTTCATGTTCTAAAGACGAAAGAACTGTCAGATGAAGTTGCCGACGATGCGTAAAGAGTTCAAACTCGTTCATGACGCGCATGATCTTGAAGGTATTCAACCAGATCCCAAAGAATAAAAGCAGTTTTCCTTAGTCGAGCTTTGGACTTAGAGCATGCTGAGAACAGGAATGCCTCATAATGATCTGGAGACAGAAGACGAGTGGAGTGATTTTAACGGCAACGAGAAGCAGTTCAAGTCCCACGAAGTTTCTCTGCAGAAGAACAAGCCTTCTCAGCTTGTAAGAACCTGAGACTTTCGAAAAAAAACACAGACAAAGAAGTTTCAAGACTTGGGTGTCGTGGACAAGGTGCCCACGGAAGAAGAGAGCAAAGAAGTTGTTGGTTGACAACGAAGTCGGTGGTCCAATTGCTGGCTGGAGAGTCGTTGGACAACGGGGTGCTGCAAGCAGGCTGTGAGAAGAGCGTAGGGACCCAGCATTGTTCTGGGAAGGTTGTCAACCCTTTAGTTGGAATTGAGCGGTGGTTTTGAGCTGGTATCAGGTTGTGCGTTGAAGTCCGGAATCGCGCATGACGGTGCTCATGAAGTCGGTGCACTTTGCTTCGCAAAAAAGGCGTTTTGTGGATTCTGTTTTGCGTGCAACAGCAGGGTGCGATACATCTTTGCCGCCCAAAATCTTCGTGCCAGGCTTGAGAAAGCGTAGGGTAGTGCTCGCAGCCATCTTCCTCCTACAACTAGCATCAAGAAGTTCTCCATGTCAACAGCGAAGCAAAATTTGCTGCACTCAAAGGGCAAAATCTTGCATTCGTACCGCAATTGCTTATGTTGCCAATTTATTGCATGTCAAAGCTCACACCTGAAATAAAATTCTTCAGGTGGTTGGAGACGCATGCAGCCAGCGAGCATGCGTAACATTCAAAACAAAGTGAGGATGCCAGAACGTCTGCTGCTTGGGCGCATTGCAAGAGGGTTGTCACGATCAAGGGCTAAACGACGGTTTGCTTTAGCCAAAGCAATGCTGAGTTGCTTTTGCGGCACGATTATATTTCATGGTGGTTCGCGCCATCCGATCTGACCCAAGGTACTTCGGGACGTTGTGGGAGCACGGTGTGCATCTGCTTTGCCAAACTTTGAATGTGGACAATGTGCAAGAGCAAAGCTTGTGCTTGCCCGACAGTTGAGAAAAACAGAAGCATGGAACCGAATGCCGTTGTATTACATTTACCTACCATGCAAACCTCATGCAAATTTGAAACCACAGCTATTCCAATCATCGCCATGACGAACTCGTGCATGGCCATTTTGTCTCCAAGCTTGCCAGTTTCACACGTTGTTCATGGATGCGACCTAGCCAAGCATTGGTTCCGCACAATGTACTAGTGAAGAGGACGATGTCAACGACGAGTGACGTAGCTTGTAGTGGAAACCCGGACGACAGCCGTAAATACTTCCTTGGAATCGGTGCACGGCAGTTGTTTGTGCTGATGGTTGCTGCGGAGGCACATTGACGAATTGTGCATGCATAGGCAGCAGTTCGGTCGTGGAAGAAAGGAGAGTCGAAAGCTTGCCAAGGTGAAGGACGAAGCTGCACTAGACACTTATGCACGTCTCATCCGAGCGGTCGGCTGGCTCGTAATGTGAGGTGCAGCGGAAATCCACGTTCAGTTTCCACAGTATGGCACAGAAAAGGCAAACGACATGAGTCACCTGATTTGAGTTGTGAAATTAACGCTTTCCAAGGAAATAGCAGCCCGACAGAAACAGATTGAGGATGCGAACGCGGATTTGGAGCTTGGCACTAAGTCGTTCTCACGGTTCGGTTGAAAATCCATGGCTGTGTTTGTGTTTCTGATGTTGTAGTTGCAGCTTTTGGGAACCATGCCGTGTTGTCAGAGATGTTTGTCCCTGGCCTTTCTGAGTGTATCAGCATTTGTGATTTCTACTTGCAGGCTCTTGGTTGACACGATCGCTTTCTGAAGTGTTGGGCATGAGGCAAGAGTCTCTCCACAAGATGAATGGCCGCGATCTTCCACGCAAGAGGTTTCGCTGAGAGCGTTTGTTTTGTTTTCGACGTCGGAAGTTTAAGCTTTTCTCGACACTGCAATAGTATGATTTGTTGCTCCGTATTACGATTCCACAGCGCAGTCCTGAAGGCATTTTGAGAATCTTGCATCGGTGTTGACTGATTTTGGCAGAATCATGGTCATGCATGTTTGTTGTCCACAGCGTCCAGTGCTTGCAAGTACATGCACTGCCCTTCAGATTCTTGTTGTCAGATCATCTGGACGCGTGCTTGCAGGCAGCTGATAGGAACTGGTCTTCTTCCGAGCCAGTACAACAGGACGGTGTTTTGAGCAACATTGCTGATTTTCGCCGAACATTCTTGATGTGTTCTATTGCATCATGCCACAACTTTCGCCAGGATGACTAACATCAACAAGTGCGGAAGCTACACAGCAGTAATCCCGACCGTTTGCTGAGAAACTCCCCGAGTTCAAGTTCGCTGTCATGTAGTGTGAAGATGAATGGCGGATGGCAGGCATACTGGTGGAGTCTGGCCCATTCATGGCAGAATCAGTTCGGGCTTTTCGGGTTTGGAGAAGTGGAGGACCGATTCTTTGAAAGCTCTTGAGGTTGCTTGAGGTTGGAGAATTGCTCCGGGAATCCTGGCAGGATCAGAAGTGCCGCGCGCTTCTTTCACAGTCGTCGCCGCCGGTGTTACTTCTGGACCCAAGTCTGAGCTTATCGGTAGTGATGCAGGGAGGCATGCAGGTGGGCGGGTGTTTCCAGGTTGGGCAGTTGGGTGTTGCTCCCATTTCAAACAGTCTGCTGCCTGAGCCCTGCACATTGCAGGAGTTGAACAGCAAGCACACATTCAATATGCTCGATCCCGTGCTTTGCCGTCGCCCCAGACATCTTCAGCTCGTTGCATTGGGCTGCACGTCTGAACTCGAGCCAACGGTCGCCCTCACATGGTGTATGTTTGTTTCAGAAGCATGTGCAGCTTGGAAGTCGGCTCAGACTTTTCAATGCAGGTTCTTCGGATCCAACGCACACGACACAAGTTGGAGCATGAACTACGACACGAAGTGCTATCAAGCGCCGTTGTTTCACGCGCAAACACGGGCATCCATGTTCCGGGTTCCAATGCAACCTTAGTGTGGACCAAAGCTGAAGCTGGTGGATTCCTTGCCCTTAGCCAAGTATCGGAGAATTCAGTCCCTGGCGGTTCTTCGCTACCCATGGGCAACGCGGTGAAGCGGCCTGCGAACGGAAGAATCTGGCCAGAGATGCCTTTCGTGCAAATGCCACAGCCGTGGCCTCCTGTTGTCAAACTTCTTGGGTTTTCAAGCCGTCAGGAGGCCAATCTCTTTGCAAGTATTGAAGGCATCTGGGGATGTAGGCATTCATAAGCAGGCTTAGCCAAGAGGGCTCCTCATGCCAGGGACCTGGCTTTGCTCATCAGCCACTGCTTATGTTTGTTTGTTTGTTTGCTTTGTTTGCTTGCTTGCTTGTTTGCTTGTGTGTGTGAACCACCTTGGTACACAGCTGCAGCGGGGTCACGCCCCACGAGCAACTACATTCATCATGTTTGCACAGGATTCAGGGCTTGGCTCTCTTCCATCAATTTGACAAAGGGAAGAAGATACTCAGCGCTTCCTACCCATCTGCATAAAGACGTTTGTGACATCTTCGAATCGTGCAAGTTGCAATTGCACTGCTTGAGTTATCCGCATGATGCAACGTGTTTATACCAAAAGTCCCCAATGAGACAGTGCTGCTGTCGCGCCGAGTTGTCTTTTACGAGATGTCCGAGTCTTTTCGTATGAGATGTCTCGATGCAAACGACAAGGATAAGCACGCAGACACGTACAAGGGCTCGATATGCTCGACAGTCGCCACCTTCCGGTAGGAAATGTTTCTTGCTGCTTTTTAACTGACATCACCGTGCCGTTTTGCTAGCTGCTAGCATGGCTTTCCAGATTTCATGGTTCATTTCGTCCCAGCTCATGTGGATTGAACACTTTTTGGATTTTGGCCAGATTCTTGTCGTCCTCATTGGCCGTTGGATCTTCTTTCCCACAGCACTCTTAGGAAAAGGGTTTGTTGCTGTTTCTTTTCATCCATGTATGTGTCTCGCGTTATTCACAGCGCACTGTCAGCCGGGGGCCTTCCCGGGGCGCCCCAAGGCCCCTCCCCCCAGGCATCCCAGCGTGGGTTCCAAGGCACGTCGTTGTTGTGGCTGGACCTCCTGCAGCAGGGAGCCTTGAATGTAAAGAGATGTTTGCAGACGCTACTTTTGCTATGTACCACTATTGCGGCAACTAGCCTTGAACCTCCAATCATGCGATGTCTTAGCGTCCTTCGCTCACTCCATGCCAAACTATCAGCTCAGGAAAGGCTCGCTATGCGACGGCTTGGAGAAGCGTTATGGCTTGGTCCACATATCACCAGGGCAGCTTCTACGAGAGGAGGTGGAGCGGGAGAACGATCTTGGGCGCAAGGCCGGTACGTGACTGTGCACGGTAGTGGTATGTCCGCCATGTCCCAGGTAGCTCGGGATGTTTGAAGGGATGTTTGGGGCTAAGGGAAATGCTCGATGAGGTGCATCAGTTCATGATGGAGGGCAAGTTGGTTCCTCACGAGCTGGTGATGAGCATCATGAGAGAGCGCATGAGCAAACCGGATATTCTCACGCGAGGATGTTTGTTGGACAACTTCCCTTTAACAGCCGGCCAGGCATCTACATTGGTGGGCAACATGCGCGTGGACCAAGTGTTGCTGGTGAAGGTCCCGGACGAAGAGCTCCGGTTACGCTCCCTAGAGCGCCGGATTGATCCTCTGACTGGAAGGATCTACCACCTGACGTTTCGACCACCACCGAGTGACCAACCCCAGGTGGCGCAGCGTTTGGTCCAGCGGAGTGACGACCAGGAAGAGTTGGTCTCCAAGCGCTTGGAGACTTATAAGCGTCACATCGAGACGATTCTACCTTTCTTTAAAGACAAGGTGGTCTCCGTTGATGGAACGAACTCTCCGGCAGAAGTTCTGGCCGAGGCATGCCAGGCCATGGACCAGTTGGAATGGACAACCAGCGACCTGCCGTACTTTGGGAACGTGGCCTTTGCGGGTCCATTTTCAATCCAGCAGGCACGGCGAGCTGGCTTCTACTCGCCTGATAATCCACCGGAAGTGGGTGACCAGGTCGTATGTTTCCAACGTGGGGCAAACTGGCAGCGTCGTGGCCAGGTTGAGGACATCTCTGAGACCGTCAGTGAAGGCAGTGGGCTTCGCAAGGGGCATGAGGGGATGCTGGTGACCTTGTCAACAGGCACGGGCTCCTTCACCTGCTGGTCTGCATTCTTGGCGCCCGTCAACGACAAGGAATACTCATCCCTTTGTACTACACATGGACTGCTCTCCTCGCATTTTGCCAGTTTGTACCCGTGCAGCAAGGGTGTTGGAGATGTGGAGTTTGTTTCAAAGGAGGCTGCAAGATGGAGCCTGGAGAAGTGGCTGAGCAACCTTGAAGATGCTGACGGCGAGCCCTTTGAAATCGATGCTTCCAAGTTGCAGTCCTTGCTTGAGCTCTTCGACTCCCATCAAGATGCATCACTCTACTTGTATACTACGCATCAGAAGTTAGGCCAGAGGGTCACTCTGAACACCGGCCAGGACTACTCACTGTACTATCGCGCGCTTAACAATACACTGAACTGTGACGCACGAAGCAATCTGGAGAACGCCATGCCCCTGATTCAGCGCATGGTGTACCTTCTCCTCTACGATGAAGAGAATGGCTCCAAACGTATCCACGAAGGAGGTCGGGTGTGGAAGGGCGACACGCAGAGGCCCGTTCCATTAAACATGCAAAAGCTCAGGGAGGCAATGCGTCTGGACCGTTTTGTCCGCTTTCGCCAGTTCCAGAGCACAACGCGAGAAAAGACTTTGGCAGAGAAGTATCGTGCGAGGGAGGATGGCAAGGGCTACCTCTGGACCATCGACATCCCTCCAGGCTTCTGGGGAGCGCGAGATATCCAGGACCCTTATCCGTTGATGTGCGAAGTGACGAAGTGTTTCTCTCGAAGTTTTCCCCACCTTCGGTGTGGGGTTGTTAGATGTTGTTAGATTTTAAACTCAACTCTTCTCCTCGCCCTAAACGCTTCTCCTCGCCCGGTCTACTCCTAGAGACTCCCTGGAGTGCCCAACCCCGGAAACTCCCTGGAGTGCCCCAGAGACTCCCTGGAGTGCCCAACCCCAGAGACTGACTGAAACGGCCACCAGAGACTGGACCGCAGAGTCTCCCTGGAGTGCCCAACCTCAGAGACACCCTGAAATGCCCGACCCCAGAGGCTTCCTGGAGTGCCCAACCCCAGAGTCTCCCTGGAGTGCCCACAGGGGATGTTCGAAGTAAAATGGTTTTGTTGTCTTTTTTTCTAGTTGTGAGGCGAAACGTCGATCTAAGTCGGGACTGTCTCCCAACCTTCACAGGACATCTCCTGGAAGGAGAAGGAAAGCGAGACGCTCTTCCCGCCCTACTCTGCCTTCCGGGTTCAAAGCCTTGACGAGAGCGGCTGCCATCTGCTGGCCGTGGTTGCCTTGCCAAGAACAAAGTACTCGTATCGTTTGTCTGCTTTTTCCGCAACTTCTGTCGACACATTAGATTGAAAGTTTGATGCCTTGAATCAGCCATAACTCACCCTAATCTGCCGCAATTAGCCGCTGCCAGGATCGTCGAGCCGAGCTCTTCAGTCGAGCAGAGAGACACGGCCTGCGTGGATCAGCAGTGGAGCTTCTTGAGTACTAAGACTTCCGATTTCCTGCCTGGCGACGTGCCTGGTGTGGTAGATTGTGAGTGGAGACGATGAAGGTCGATCAATTGCAGTCTGACCCAGTTTCACTTGTACCATATATAGCCAAATCTAGCCTCGGACTAAATGAGCCTGGCAACGCATCCGCAAGACAGAGCTCTTTGATCCTTTGAGTTGCCATTCTCAGATTCCCAGTCCGAGGTCATCATGTTAATGACTCACTGCCTGATTGGCGATTTCGCTTCACATTCTATACACAGATTGGAGCCAGTTCACTGATCAGAGGTGGAGAAAGGTTGTGTAAGGACCAACGGCGTGAGATGTGAGATTCTCACTGCTGGTCTCACGAGCAAATATTCCAGAGCGTGTCCGTGCCCATGGTTTCTCCCAATATCAGGTTTAGAATCCAGTCTGCGTGCTTCTAGCTGAGCTCGTGAATGGCACGCACAGACACAAGTATCCATGCCAGAAGGGCCACTTCTCATGGTGAGGTACGGAC